GGGGCATTTGCCTGAGTCAGCTGGGCCTTCCTTGCACTTGCTCACCTTAGAGGAATTACGATAGTTTAAGATTTGCTTCCTCGAAGAAGTCTCCCTTGGCTGGTTTACCTCATCCTGTAAGATTAGTGTCTATTCTGAAGTCTTTGTCACACATACCAGTTATGCACCCCAGCCAGTACATGCTTTGTAGTGAGGACAGTGTGCTCAATTTCTTTTTAGAAGTGCTCTAAATAAAGGCCCCAATCCACCTGCAGCTGGGCTCTGGGGCAGACAGCATTTTCCAAAGATGGCCAAGCCAACATCTCCCATTCCACATGATCTTATTACAGTGAGATCAGCCCTCCTTGTGCTTGGAGATGGAGTTCTCTGCTCCCTCCCTTTTATCATATGTAGGGGCTGTGGATGCTCCAATGAATACGGTGGAAGAGAATCTCTCTGACTCTAGACTCGGTCACAGAAAGAGGGTAGCTTTCTGTCCTTCTGAGAAAGCCACCCACCATGACTCAAGGGAGCCTAATTACTCTCGTGGAGGGGAACAGAGGCCCCCTGCTGACAACTGGTATCTCCTCCCAGACACACAAGTGAACAAGCCTTCGTAGGACTCCACCCTCTGTCCTGGCGTCTTCCAGTAAGTCCCCAGACTCTGTGAAGCAGAGACAAGACATCTTCATTGCCTTTCCTATACCCTTGACCCAAACAACATGTGGGTATGACCAACAATTCTTCAATGATGTCAGACAGCTGCAGGACCCAGAGCAGGCTCTATAAAGGTGACCCACAGTAAGCAATTCCAATATTCCAAACTCATTTTTTTTAAGGTTTTTGCCATGGGGTGCATGAGCTTGCTGGAGAGAGACAGTGAGAGGGAAAGTGAGAAATCATCCCCCAGCAGGAACAGACACACCACAACTCCATCTCCTCCATTCTGGGATTTGGGCCAGGCATAAACATATGCCCAGCATGATTTTCAAGCTGCCAGGTCCAGGACTTGAACCACAGTTGGTCATGTGGAAGTCCAGTGCCTTAACCACTATGCCACCTGCTGACCACCCCCCCAAACTCTTTTTAAAAAGATTTGAATATGACAATCTCTTTGACTGGACTAACATACACTCTATTCATGCTCAGAAAAACTATTTTGTATACATTGATTAAATGTAAATAAAAATTCATACATATATATCTTAAAAAGGACTTTCATCAGTTTCTCTCACTTCCTTCTCTACAGGGCTGAATCTTGGCAGGGAGAGGTTAGGGGACATGCCCTTATCTCTCTATAGAGGTATCCCTTCCCCTCACACCCACCATTAACACGGCCGGCACTTTGAACGTCACAGCCCCTGGTGCAGCCCTTCTCATACCTGGCAGGCTAAGAGCTTTTTGCTTATCATCTCTATCCTTCAAAACAACCCTCAAAATATGCGATGTTAGATGAGAAGTGAGTGAGGGTAAGATAGGTAAGGAAATTTGCCCAGGCCACGTTTGCTAGCACATAGCAGAACCTAAGGCTAGAGAGACAGGTGACTTGTTGAAATACTATGCTGGGTAAAGTCTCTTCGCAATCTAAATGATGTATAGTGATTTAATGTATGAATAATAATAATAAAAAGAAAAAGAAAACCTCAGCTGCTCTAAGATGCAGAGCTGAGGATGCAAATCCACAGGATACTGACCCCTGTGACAGCCATTGGCCATAGTCCAGCTAGTTTCTTAGCAAAGCGTCATAAAAGAAATGCCCTGAGCACAGAGATTGAAGCCCACATCAAGGACAAGTATGAACATTTAGAAGTGAAATTTCTCTCCATTCACCTGAGACTTTATAGTACAAAGGGGTGCCAGGGTCCTGTGGTTGAATACGGAGACACCCACAGGGCCTGACAGTGCCCCCTGGCTTTCTTTCATCACAACAGAGCCCACCATATCTCCTATAGGGCCTGGTTCCAGCTGTCCTCCTGCTACTCAGCTTCATAATCACCATCCCCGACCACATAGCTTCAGCCAAGCCTGGCCACTCCGAGGAAAGAGAAGCCAAAGGGGAACATCGATTACAGTCCAGATAAAGTGCTTTCTTCCAGGACTCACCCACTGCCACCAGTACCATGGGGAGGCTGATAAATCACCTCCCAGTCAAGGGTAATAAGACATTCTTCCTTCCCAATTGAGGATCGTGCTCAGCACAAAGAAGTGTCTCTGTGAACCAGTGCAGAGTAGGTGACGACAGAGAATGACACCAGGTCCTCCCACCCCATGGCCTCTAGCAAGGGAGCCAGAATCTTCTCTTCGAACACAAGCCTATACCATGGCAAGGGCATGGAGCAAAGGCCCCAGCCAGCCAGGACCTCCTTCAGGTCTCCCTTCTCTCTACCACCTTACCTGATTTTAAAAGGCTGGTGGTTGAGAAAAGGCCCTCAACCTGACAAAGTACTAAAAAGAAAGCTTTATTCTCAATTCACATACAGGATCTGACTTTCCAAACAGGTTATAACCTCCACAGAGTCACAGGAAAGTAGCCCTCGCCATCACAGGAAAAAGCACGTCGTTCTCTGAACTTGAGCAAGATCTTTGCTTTCTTGGGGAAAAGGCACCCTTAACTCTCGTGCATAAGCAGGCCACTGCCTTCCTTAACTTGCAGGTCTCACATATGACTCAGAGGAAAACTCAACCAAAGGAAATGTTAAAATCTCTCTGTCTTTTCCCCTCTCTCTCACTCACACACACATACACACCTACCTCTTTCTGGAGCAGTTTGCATTTAGAACATTCTAGAAAAGTTAGTTTCTGGGAGAGTATTTACACACACACACACACACACACACACACACCACCCCACACAACACACTTAGTATTGCATAAGCAGGCCACTGCCTTCCTTAACTTGCAGGTCTCACATATGACTCAGAGGAAAACTCAACCAAAGGAAATGTTAAAATCTCTCTGTCTTTTCCCCTCTCTCTCACTCACACACACATACACACCTACCTCTTTCTGGAGCAGTTTGCATTTAGAACATTCTAGAAAAGTTAGTTTCTGGGAGAGTATTTCCACACACACACACACACACACACACACACACACACACACCACCCCACACAACACACTTAGTATCCAGCTGGTTGTAGGGTCGGGGGTTCAGTGTCCACGCCATGCTTCCTCAGTGTGCAGCCACCACATGCCTCATCGGCTGCAGGAGGCTAGCTGTGCTTACAAGTGGACAGCACACTTCTGCAGGACACCATGCTGCTGCCGTGTGCACCGTCACGCACACATATAGGACTCAAAACTATGCAAGCAATTGATGCGATTCAGAACAAGCCCACCCTGAAACATGGCTCCTTGGCATTTGAGAAAACACAGGAACATGAAGATCACTCTTACCTCCCCCTTTCCCTTCTCCCCTAAAGTAGGTCATAAAATCGCCTTTTGAGAGGTGCCCTCCTTACACCCAGAGGAAAGAAATATCCTTCTATCTGAAGACACAGGGACACAGGGAACAATCTGAGCAAACCTTAGACCTTGCTAAGCCTTCTCCTTCTCAGTTTTACTACCATTAGGTCATATCTCCTTTGTCCAATCACACTTGTTCACTTCTCCCTCAAACTAGCATAAAAAACACACAGGTTTCCCTGTTTTGTTGGGTCTTTATCTCTTTAAGAAGCCTTCTGTGTTATGTAAAACTTAAATAAATATATATGCTTTTCTCTAGTTAGCCTGTCTTTTGTTATGGGGCCTTAGTCATGAACCTAGTAATGAATAAGGAAAATAATTTCTTTTCCTTTACATAATCCTGATCTTCTCTGGAGCAGTCTTCCTCCAAAGGTCTCCAAAAATGTCCAGTGAACACCCTTCTAATACACGCATTCCAAGGGGACCCTAGCCACTCCTGGCCTCTTCCAGCCCTTACCTACACACTCCCTACAGCTTTCCAGGTCTCAGCGATTGCCTGTGACTACTAGATTCACACTTAGGTTGAACCCACGCATTCAATTTGTTACAAGCATTTTCAGGCAAACTTACTCTTAAATCATGTAACTCTTTAGATCATTTGTCCCTGAGTCCCACACCAGTTACCAGAGGGTGGCCCTGAGGGAAACCATGAGCACAATTTCTCTAAGGACAATAGGGACACTGCTTATCACCCTCCATTGAGGCTGGATCTCACTTTAATTAATTCGACATCTCAATGCATTTTTTTTTTTGCACAAAATTCAGGAACTGATGTTAACTGCTTGATACCTACTTAACAGCTCTTAGATTGTAACATATAAGACAACATTTGGACATGTGTATCTCCATCTTCAGACAATTATGTCCCAATGTTTCACACCTGACAATAATGAATCCTCTCCTTCTCTTGGTCTATTATCTTTTCATTTTACTCTGTTATCTCCTTTTTCTACTCTGTTATCTCTTTCTACTCTGCTATCTCCTTCTTTTATTTTGTTATCTCTTTCTTCTACTCTGTTGGTTTTTTATTTTATTTAATTGGGTGCAAAGGAGAAAAGGCTGCTACTTATATAAGAAACAAGTATTTTCCATAAACATGATGCAATAGACACAAAGACAAAAATCATAAAGTAAGACAAAAATGGGACTCTTAGCCATGGGCAGACTTACTAAGACTAGGTTGGGGGCAAGGACTTTCCAGTTCAGCCCTGGCTCGAGTTTCTCTGTCCCGGCTTCTCCTGTCACAGCTATCACACTTTCCTGTTCTCACTCTTGGGCAGAATGTGTTAGCCAGAAATCACTTCTGTGTCCCTACCATAGAGCTTCATGGCTTTTTTGTTCTAAAAGAAATGCGCTACTAACCACCACTTTTACATAATGATTTATTCCTCCAAATAGCAATGCACTATTTCCAGTCCAGCAACCAGAGCTACTGCCTCTGCAACACTTCCATCATGGTATAGCAGCCACCAAAAAGCACAAAAACCTTGAGATCAAGCTAACCAAAAGCTATAAAGTGATAAGCATAGTTCTTGATTTAAAAAGTTAAAGCTTACCTGTGGCTATAGCGAATGGCAATCGTCAACCCAAGCTGCAAAAACAGAAACACAAATTAAATATTATGAAGAATATGCCAAATTCACAAAAAAAAATTTAATATGGTGAATTATTTTTTAAACATTTCTTAAAATCCCTTATAACTAATGGCACATATAGAACTACTGCTTCAGAGGCTGGAAGCCACATGGGAGGCCTGGTTTCAGTTCCCAGGCCAATCTGCCCCACCTGTGACCCTAGCTAATCAGAAGGCTGGGGCAGTTGTGGCATAGCAAGACCCTGTCAAAAATATCTATCTCTGGGACCAGCAGGTGGCGTAGTGGTTAAGGCGCTGGACACTCCCATATGGTCAACTATGGTTCAAATCCTGGACCTGGTGGCTTGCTTTCTCATTTTCTCTCTCTCTTTCTCGGTCTCTCTCTGATCAAATGAAATGAATGAATGAATAAAGTTAAATAAATAATTCTTTTTAAAAAAAAACCTATCTCTATCTCTGTCTCTCTCCCCTGAAGGAATACACACACACACACACACACACACACACGTATATACACTATTTATATATATAATGATATATACATATATATGTATTATATATAACACATGTATTATATACAATGTGTGTGTGTGTATATATATATATAAATATCATAGTATATGATATATCATACACCACTGTGGATTAAACAGGAGACATCACTCACTGGGAAAGACTTCTTACACAGGGCTTTTTTAGCTCTGAGACATGCAGTGAAAAGATAGGATTGCAGCATGTGGCTGACTCCACAGTTCAGGTCCAGAAAACACAGCCATGGCTGGATCCTGGGAGTCCATCCTCTCCCTGCTCTCTACCCTAGGAGAGCTTAGTGGGCCAGAGCCGGTGGCTAGGGGTTGGGGGGGGGGTGTATCAGCACAGTCTCCACCCTGATACCATGAGCTCATGAGCTCAAGACCAGCAGACTTTAGCTCTGAGGACAGCAAAGACATGGAGCCTGAAATGCATGTGTGGCAATAAGAAATCATACATGCGCTTGCTGGCCACAGCAGCAAGTAGAGAGTGAGGTGAAACTGATTTCCTCTTTGCTTTGCGAGGTGTCATGGAAGCCTCTTGATCGTAAGTGGTGGTAAATCCTGTGGCTGGGCCTCAGCCAGCTTATGCCAGGACAGTTGTGAGTTACAAAGGAGACAGGCCAGTCGACCAGGTTCAGGGGCATCAGCAGGTTATTGAAACTCTCAGCCCCTCAGTTTCCCAACTGTAAAATGGGCAAGAGAACTAATTTACCATAGGGTTAATGTAAAGATAAAGCCATTTTTCTGTATGTGTGTGTTTCTATCCATGAGAATGTGTGTGCATGTGTGAGCCCAGTACCTGACAGATAGGAAAAACTATAAATAACTACCACCTTAAAAAGACAATATTCCATTTGTGGAAGTGTTGGTAATTTCAAAATTTAATGTTTTTTGAAGTTTATTCTTTTCACGAAAGTAAGAAAGAGAGAGTCTCACCCCATGATCTCCCCACCCCCAGCCCTCCCAGCCAGCCAAGACCAGGGGTGCACACACCAGGCATGTACAGATCAACCAGTGAACTTGTGATCTTCCCTGCAGATCTACCATCACTTGAGCAGTGCATTACCACTGAACCACCAAGCTGGACCTCAACATTTAATTTTTGCATTAGTTTTTAGAACTTCGGAAGGATTTCATCATGTAAAGACCAATCATTATTGTCACACATGCCCATGTAAGTCTCATAACCCACTTGTTCCCAACTGTAGCATTACTAAATTAAGATGCTCACAACAGTTAAGAACCTAAGCATCATCTATAACATCATTTTGTGTGAAAGGTTTAACCAAGTTGCACCTGAAGAGCCCCAAACAAATTTAAGTTTTCCTTAACATTGGCCCCAGTATGGCTAGGGTGGGTAGATGCTTTTGGGGTGCTATCCCAGGCGGTACAAGATGACAAAAGGGGCACGTGGGAATATGGAAGGGTTGGGAAAGAGCTCAGGGTGCTGGAGGGGTGAGCTACAAGATGAAAAACAGTGGAGGAAAGAAAGCCCAAGGCTGTTATCCAGCTCAACACGCTATAGAGTCATTTGAAGAGCTCAGCTCCAGAACAATCCAGATGTGCATTATCTCTGTACACATCTGGAACATAGAGCCTACGACATGAGCCATCAGGAATCAGGGAGAAAAATGCAAAAATTTACCAGAATATCTGAAAAAGAAGACACGAGACACCAGCAGGTGGTGTGGTGGTTAAGGTGCTGGACACACACATGGCTGACTACCTCCAGAGTCCCAGACCTGGCAGCTTACTTTCTCACCTTCCCTTTCTCTCTCTCTCTCTCTCTCTCTCTCTGGTCAAATTAAAAATAATTATGATAATAAATAAAATAAAATAAAATAAGTAATCCTTTTAAAAAAATCCCATTGATTTCATAACATTCTCACCTAAATGTCTTCAATTATCTTTCTCAGCTAAAGTAGTGTATTTTCTTTGAGACTTAAGCAAACAGAAGAGGACGATGCCTCCGGGACAATAAAAATTTTAAAGAACGAGGAGGAAATTATTTGGGGAAAGAAAAAAAAAAAAAAAGGCAGAAACTCTAGCCAAAAGGTCAGGATGAGCAATTTATAGATTTCACAAGCCGGGTAACTTTACATTTCCTGAGGTCAAAAAGTTCTGGCTTATAGCTAGGCTAATTATAAGATAATTTTACTGCCTGAATATTTTGATAAGCTCTGGAGTACAGTTTAATTGGGTGGCTTCTCCACAGTTGAAAGATAAGCCCTTGCTGGAGCTAGGGGAGGAAACAGGAGTAGCAGAGACCAGAACAAGAGAAGAACAGTGAAGTTGTTGCGTGGCAGCTACATTGACTGAAAGAGGCTGGGATATAAATTTCCACAAAGGTGAATTTCAATGAAGTGATTTGATTGGTCTTTTCCTGGCTTCTGAATCCAATCTAGTTTATTGTCATTGTTAAAGTGACATCTTGTTAAGGAAGAAGTGTGAATCATGGATGCTCTGGTGGACAGAGTGAGCTGGCACAGAAGGCCAGACCAGGATCTGCCCTTCACAGACCTCCATGTGAACAGACTGGGGCACAAACATCTGGACAGATACAAAGGCCCCAAAGCTATAGGGGAACCAGCCTACAGGGTGGGAGGGAACAGGGCCTTTCAGAGTCACTCTGGAAACCGTAGAAACCACACAGAATGCACTAGATCTAACTAGGCAGCCATGAAAGGGGCTGGGGCTGAGTAGAAAAGTTCCTGTGGGTCTCACCCTGAAACCCCAGGTTGGAACAGGCCAGAGGCACAGCTGGCAGATGAGCTGTGTATGAGCTGTGTATGAGCTGGCAGATGAGCAAGCGCATGTATGATTTCTTATTGCCACACATGCATTTCAGGCTCCATGTCTTTGCTGTCCTCAGAGCTAAAGTCTGCTGGTCTTCCTTCTTATGCCTGCTCCTCCTCATTCCCACCGAGAAAGCCAGGGAGAAGGAAGGCCTCTGAGGTCTCTGTACCATAGCAAATACCAGATAAAGGCCGAGAAACGAGTCCGAGGTACTTTTCTCCCTTGGCCTCATCAGCCAGTCAAGGCCTCTCTAAGGCCCCTCGCCTGCTAAGATGCATCAGCAAGTCAGAAATGCTACACGCAAGTCTCACTGCTGCCTGTGCATTTTCACAGATACACACATGCACAAATACACCACACACACATGCACATGCCCACACAGATGCACACCTGTGCACACACAGATGCACACATCTCATGCATGCTTGTGTGTACATTCACGCACCTGTATGTACACATGCACACAGCCACACTCAGACAAGTGCACATACATGCACACATGCATTCTCACAGTGTATGTGTGTGTACAGGCTATTCATACATATGCATGTGCGCACCATATGCATATGCCACCACATGTGTGCATGCGCGCTCACGTACACACACACACACACACACACACACACACACACACACACACCTGAAGTCGAACCACCAGATCCAGGAACTGAACCGTACTTGGCCATGTGGGAGTCCAGCACCTTAACCACCATACCACCTGCTGGCCCCCTTGATTTATGGTTTTAAGCCACCAAGTTTGTGATCATGTATTATAGCAGCGATAGAAAACTCAAATGCTAACCCCTCCCAAACCTCCCTCCCCCTTCCCATCTTCCAGTGTAGAGGCTGGAAAATACAGTACTTTCTACACTCAAA